CAATAACATAATCTCAGAATCTAAAGGAAATAAAACAACATATGTCTTGAGGGAAAAAACAAAAAGTAAATAAATCAGCTATGGCTGCTCAATGCAAGGAGACCTCGCATGCCACGCCTCAAGCCATGGCATTGCCTTTTTAATATGGACTGAAATACTATACCTGCACTGATTTTCAAACAACCAGCAATCTTCTTGCATAATAAAAAAATACAACCATTATTTCCAAAGTCTTTCATTTTTGAATAAACTTATATTCTGATATTAATAATTCAGAAAGCAGCAACATTAATCAACTTTTGGGACAAATAAACTATAATTTCACTGTTGGGAAAATGCAGAGATATTTTTTTTGGTTCAACGTCGGTTCATGTGCGCATAGAATAACTTAAAACAAGTTGTAATTTCATTTTTGGGAAAATGCAAATATATTATTGTTGGTTCGGTGAAGAGCGTCGGTTTGATGACTTAATTGTTGTTAGAAAGATAGTGTCCAAAATTTGGTTTTCTTCTGGCTTGGACACCATCACTGTGTTCGACAATCACTCTGAGAATTGAATCTTGATCACATGACTGTTTGTTCAGTTTTTGTGTTTATTTTCGTGTGTTTTATATGTTTTAGTTGAGTCTTTTTAAGTTCGTTTTAGTGTCGACCGGTCTATTTTAGTCGTGTTTCGTGTATTTTTGCTTTCGACCTGTGGTTCGACGTATTTCTTGCCTTTTTGGTGTTGTTTAGGTCCATCGTACAAGCTCAAGAAGACGAGCCGTCTTAGCCGTCCAAACCGCCCGAGCCATTATCCGAACCATCCGAGTCGTGCGAAAGAGATATCGAGGTTTGAGTCAGCACCGCAAGCAAAGACCCACACGCCAGCGCCGGGCCCTTGCATCTGTCGGGCGCCTTTGCACTCGCTCGCGCGCGACCCGTGCTACACCGTCCACCTGCGCGCACGACCGGCATGAAGACTGCGCCTGCATGCTTGAGAAAACACTCTCCTGTGATTCGCCCGGCCGCCTACGCGTTCGCCCGCGCGCCTGCTAGCATTCGCAACCCGCACACCTGCCAGCGCCCGAGAGCCAGCACTCGCTTAGCATTCCACATATTATCACCCACGTCAAAAACCATCGACCGACCGTCTAACGAACCAAACAACTCCACAGACGGCTCAACGCGAGAAAGGAATAATAGTGGTGACAGGGGTGACAAAGGACGCGAAAGGAGAGCCGAGAATGTAAGACAATGTGGACGCCCTCATATAAAATACTCATACGTGTTAAGGCGTTCGTCGTGCAACACGGCCCGATCAAACTGACAAAGACGCCCTAATAAGAGGTGACAAGCATCCATAGGCAAAATGTCACACCACACCGTACCTTTATATGTGGAGCTGATTGAAAAAGACACTAACAAGCGGCCAATGACAGTGGTAGAAGTGTCACGTTGTATCCACACAAGAGCATAAGGATCCAAATGCGGCTCACCCAATAACCCAAGTTTCTCCACAACTGTATTCGAGATTATGTTTTCGCAAGAGCCGGAATCAATCACAAAATGGCACACTTGGTCGCCAATGGTGCACGTGGATTAAAAAAGATGGTGATGCAAACCCTCATCATTAGAAGACACGTGCGGGGACAAGAGAGATCGACGAAGAACAAACGCATGACCCACGTCCCCTGAGACATGCACCACTGGGATCTACAACTCTTTATAAAAAATGGGATGACCATCGTACTCGCTGGACTCCTCAACAAGCAAAGCACGTGACCTTTTGCCTTTGGGCACTGTGTCTGAAATGTCCCGATTTTCTGCAGGCGAAGCATCGAGGCACTACAGGCTGCCGATTGCCGCCCCAAACCGTGGGGCTAATCAAATGACCATCAGATGTCGGCCCGACACCCCACTGAAGAGTCGCCGTAGGCGGCACGGTAGCCGTCATCCCAGTAAGCTCCTTTATAGATGGCGCAAACAATGCGCCCACCTTCCGAGCCTTCTGCTGCTCGATAAACAATGCTCGCTGATGCGCATCATAAACCAAATCTGGTACGAAAAGATTGAGTGTGTCCTAGATTGGACCACGCAAACCGTCCACATCTCGTGACACTAGCTGCTTCGTCGACTCATGAACATCCACACGCGTAAGGAGGCGATAAAAATCCTTCGTATACTCATCAATCGAAAGCAAACCTTACCTTAAATTCTAGAATTGTTGATAAACCAAACGAGCATAATTAAAAGCAAAAAATTCACGTTCTAAATGCTTACGGAATTTCATCCAACTCGAGATCTTGGGCTTGCCCTGATGATGCCGTGCGCATTTGAGTTGCAACCACCAAGCGGCGGCACTCCCGCGTAGCCTCGTTGCGACTAGCGCGACACTCCTATCATCCAAGACGTCCTTAAATTCGAGCACGGACTCAACCACGGCCTATCAATCAAGAAACTCCGCAGCATCAAGCCTGCTCGAAAACTCAAGAATCTCGACCTGAAACCCTTACTCCTAGCGTGAGTCGCCGCCTCCTTCCATTAGACGGCCAACATCTGTACCCAAATTCCAGTGTTGCTCCCAGGCCGCGCCTACCCGGTCAAATATCATCGCCGCTGCACGTCATCTGGGAGACCCCAGTCACAATGCTACTGGCCGCTTGCATCGAGGCCCCTGCCGGCACGTTTCTGGTCCCAGCCGCGATGGTGCAGGTCGCCGCCATCAAGACCTGCTCCTGCACGATCGAAGCATCACTCGCAGCGCTTCTGTCGAAGCCCCATCCAGTGTCTTCCTAGTCCTAGTCGTGACGCTGGAGGTCTCCATCGTCGGGGCTTGCGCCTTCCCAATTGAATCCCCATCCGCGCCACCTCTGTTCGCTGCCGATGAAGCCCTCATCGTCGCACTTGCCCTGGCCTCCATGTGCGTCGAAGCCTCTAGCCTTGGCATGGTGAGGCTACAAATATGCGAACGAGTTAACCACCGAGAAGGTGTCCTCACTGTCGTCATCGACAAATGGCAGTTGTGGCGATTGCCGACGGGGCCCCCATCTGGACCACGATCGCCGCAAAACCCCCTGCGTACGCCTCGGTCGTCGGGGTCACGTTTCGTTTGCAATTCCCAGACCATGTTGTTGAGGGTCAAACGCAAATCTACAATCCCCGATGAAAGATCCTCAAACCGCTCCATGAACGCCCGTTCAACTGTTGAACCCAATCGTCGATCTGTTTAAACTGATCGTTGAAGATTGCGTCACGTTGTTCGTTTGCTGCATCTTGTCGTCTCGGCGACATCGTGAATCGCATTGACTGCTGATACCAACTGATGTAGAGAAGCGTATGAATGAGAAGGATATGAATGAGATCGAAATTTCACGAACACAATATCGATATCAAACTCTTAATACATTCAACAACTGATTGGCTAGGGGCTCCTAGTAGATATTAAATAGATTCTATGACATAATAATTTTCTAACTTGCTAAACAAAAAATACTAAATAAATAAACATTCTCTTACCAACTAGACATAAGGAAATAAGGAAATAAAAATATCAAAAGAACATAAATAACAAAACCGTGACGATGATAATTATCGAGATATGCTAATGCAATCTCGTCGGCATCATTCTCATCGGGTGGAGAGGATTCCCCCTCGAATACGCAATCTCGTCGACATCACTTGGTCAATATAAAATGAAGTTCTCTTTTATGGTCCGTTCAATACACCTTACGTGCACTAATGTAATTCATCAGTCAAGATCGACTAATTTTAAAATCGCACTACAGTCGTTCTCAATTGTTAGTTCGTTTCTATTTGGATTGTGAAACTTATTCATATTTTACACGGCACTGATATTATGATCTTCTATTTACCACGATGAACCATATTCTTTAATGTAAAATAAATTAACTTGTTCGCATAATCTAATAAAACACTAACATATACTAAAACATATACTTACTAAGAAAAATGCTACAAGTACATAATAAATGTACACAGTTTTGGTATGAAGTCAACAGTTGGCTCCATAGTGGAACAAACTTTCTATATACAACAAGTAAACTGTACCATATTTAGTATTTATTTAAGTAATCAGACAATATGGTATGGTTTACTTGTTGTAAATAGAAGGTTAGCTCCACTATGGAACCAACTGTTGGCTTCATAGCAAAACTGTAAATGTACATAGAGGTGTCCATAACACTTACATGAAGTGAGATCCACTTGATTTTTTATTTTTGGTAGGACCCACTTAATGTGAGTATTATGTACATGGATCCACTTGATTTTTTAATTTTAATAGGACCCACTTTATATGAGTGTTATGTATATCTCCGTATACAATATTATGTATTTCTCGTTGACTAAACATGATTTTCATTCGAAACGAAAATTAATTCGTAACATAAAACTACACTTTCAATTAGGCACTAACACCCCAAACTCCAACGGAAGTTAGAAATTTCAAAATAATTCACCATATGCTCACCCTGAATCGCCAACATATTCGATTAAGTACAACAAACACCTCTTAACAAGTCTCAAATCGAAAGAAGAACACCCAAATTTTTCAAATTTTTAACACAAACTCGAAAAAGTATCTCCCCACCAACAATATATATTATACCATACCACTCACGAATCATTAAAAGAATGCTCAATTTAAATATAAATAGTTGGAATTAGTATTAACAAAATTAATTGATATGGCTGTGACCTCGGCATCATTAAGTGATCCATCAAATTACCTTCACGAGGAGTCAGAGATAATTAAAGAATCCCATAATTTTCAGTGGCTTAACTGACTCTGTCTCTTTAATTAAATTCCCATGATCCCATCCCACAATTCACTCAGAAAAAAATATAAAATAATAATAATAGTAACAATCACCCAGTTTTATTTTATTTATTATTTGAAAAAAGTGGTACTATATAAATTTCAATAACGTGACGTGTTTGTTCCCTTGGACTCTCTCCTCTCCCGACTCAAGAAAGCATTAAACTACACCCTCCCCGNAATTTAGAAAACCAAAACAAAGGAAAATGTCGATGCACAGGAAAACTGACTCGGAGGAGACCAGCCTAGCGCCGTCGTCCCCAAACCGCGCAGTGTACTACGTGCAGAGCCCGTCGCGTGACTCCCACGATGGCGAGAAGACGACCAATTCCTTCCACTCGACCCCCATTCTCAGCCCCATGGCCTCCCCTGGGCGCCACTCGCGGGATTCCTCCTCCACGCGCTACTCGGGCTCCCACAAGTCCAGCAACAACGGGCGCCGCCACCACCCCCGGGCCCACAAGACGGGCAAAGGATTCGACGCGATCGAGGAGGAGGGGCTGCTAGACGAGGACGGCCGCCGCCCACACGGGCTTCCGCGCCGGTGCTACGCGCTCGCGTTCGTTGTCGGGTTTTGCGTGCTGTTCACCTTCTTTGCGCTCATACTGTGGGGAGCCAGTAGGAATCAGACACCTGTCGTCACCATGAAGGTACACGCGCCTCCTGATTTTTCAATTAATTAATTAAATTCGTTTCCGTTTTTAACGTCGTGTACTTGAATGTGTCAATTGCGAGATTCTTGCTTAAGATCTGGTTTTCCAATAAAATTAAAAATTAAATAAACTAAAATCTGATTCAGATCTTCACCCAAAATGTTAATTTTTCACATCATCTTGTTCAGATTACTTATCAAGACGGGTATCTTGTTTTACTATTTTAGGAAGATTGCTATGAAATGATCCTGCACATCTAATTACACATGTAAATATTTCATCGTAATTTTCGCTATTGTTTGGTCGTGTTTAAGATCTTGTACATCTTTTCCTAGCGTGACTTTAATATTAAAAATTTGAGAAGAACGTCAAAATTAATTAGGTGGGTGACGAATTCAAATATTTGGAAAATATATACATACAAAGTTTGACCAGAAAATGATGCTATTATATTATTCTCTGCAAACAACTAGCAAATTCCACATGGTGCTAAATTCATGTTAAAATTTAATAAATCAATAATCTCTATGTGACACGCTATCGGATATCCAACGTATGCATAAGAAATAATAAATCACATGCATTGCTTATTTTTATGTAATTTGATTCCAGAAAGTCAGAATATAGATACGACTTTTGTTAGATAAATAATACAAATCACAGCTAATGAGGCTTTCTAGCCATATCATATGCAGGGAATTGAGCCAAAACCCAGTAATGTATACTGATTTTTCAGCAAGACTTTGCTGCTGATAGTAAGAACTAGTATTCGAACTTATGCATTGCACATATATAAATACAGGATTATAAGTTATTTATATATATATATATATATATATATATATAATATTAAAATTATAAGATAGTATTAAATTATAAACATAGAGTATTATAAGTTATATTTATGTATATAAGATTAAAATTATAAATTAGATAATGATATTATGTTTTAAAATTTGATCATTAGTTGGTTAAAATCAATAAAACGTAACTATTTGATTGCATATGAATCACTATATTGATTTCGTAAAATGTAATATTTGTAATTTTGAGAGATCGTGACCAATTAATTTACTGAAAAATATTAAATTTATTTATCAATTGCTTATGCGATTTTAAGGGATTTTACTATGACATTAAAACAAATTAGTTTATTTAAAAAACAATCGCTTAATCAGATACAAAAAATATAACATTGATTTTAGAATAAATAACTTGAACAAAAAGTTTTACAATATAATTTTATTTAGTGTAAAATTTAATTATTAATTTTCATAATAACTATTATATGATACTATAAAAAATATACTTATTATTCCATTAATATATAATGTAACAGTTTTTTGCCTTAATTAACATAATCGATTTTCGGGAAGATAGGTGTCACGTAGGTATAAATTATAAGGTAAAATTTATGATGTTTGATTTAATGGATTGCCAGCAATTATATATATAGATGAGTAAATTGAGAAAATTGACTCAACTATTTTCACTTCCCCTTTTTGGTTCCTTTAAAAATAATTGACAACGAAAAATGAATAATTAACAAAGATATAATTATTTAAAATGACACATTCTATCCGCAATTTGTAAAAAAACGATAATCATTTAATCATATTTATAAAGATTAAATGTCTTTAGAAAAAATATTATCAACAACTCTATAAATAGAGAGTGACAAAAATATAATAAAGTCAAACTTCCTTCTATTTTTTTTATTTGTCATTTTGGCTTTATTGATCGTTAATCAAATAAATGTTGGTTTGGATATTTTATACATACTAGTACAACACTCGTGTATTACACGGGTGCTTGTTAAAAAATTATTCTTATATTTTATAATTTATGAAAAAAATTATTCTAAATTTTATTTACATTTTTTACGAAATATATATATTATTATATATTTTAGAATGACACTATTGTTACTTGTGCGACTTACATGTGTTATATTATAGTAATTTTTATAACTTATATCATATAACTACTTGAAATATAAATACATTAATTGATAAATAATTTTATTTTTCTAATTAATATTAAAAAAATAATTTTATTATGTCATAAAGATAAATATAATTTATTTTTCTATACATTCAATATGAATGTTAAATCGAAGCTCATCAAGAGATGATTAATTTGATATATTATATATGTAAAACTGATAAAAAATACAAAAGTTATTAACTTTTAAAATACATTTACAATTCAATGGTTATAATAAGAAATGATATTAAAAGGCAATTGATAATGTAACATGATCATAAATAATCAACATATTTATGGATAATGCGGACCTAATTATTTTTGGATTGGAAGTAAATTAAAATCTACCCAAGCCTAATAACGAATCATGTAATTTTGCCACGTAGAATCCCGAAGCATGCGAGCCTGTCACTTAGGCTCAACATATTTAGTTAATACACTACACGTTTTGGGACGAAAGTTGTGTAAGACGATGAGATTTTTCCTCTTAAAAGAACATAAAAAAGCTGAAAAGAAAGAACATAATTGTTGTTAATTTGCTCTAAATAAGGCTAATATTGGCTACAAAAAAATTTCTTAATTTGTGTTAAAGTACAGAAAGACATTTAAAAAGAATATGAGAGAGTATTACTTATTTTTCATCAATGATATCTATTGTTTTATTTAAAATAAAATTTAGTATATTGTAGATATTTGAAGAACTTACAGTATATTGGGATTGAATCAAATGGATCTACATTTTTAAAATAGAAATGCGAGATTCAATCTAAGCCATTAAATAAGGGGCAAATGTGTGACCAAGATTATTTTATTTTTTTAAATATTTTAATAGTGATTGACCTTCGGCTTTGAGTGTTGACCACTGGCATTGATGGCGTTGATCGTCTTCATTGACCACTGACGTCGACTAGCAAAGACCGATGTTGCATTTGATATAAACTAAGTAAGCATTATGCAAGAACTAAATATGCATTATATGTAAATCGAATATGCATTATTATAAATGAACTAAATGTGCAGTATGGAAGCTAACATTGTCTCTTCAACATCAGTATCGAAATTCACAATTAATATCAACTAATTATGCATAATGTATGTCAAGTTTAAACTAAGTATGCAATTGATATGCAATTAAAACTACATATGCACTAAACATGTCATTATGTATGAGCTAAATATACATTATGTATGTTTGAAGAACTTTAAATATGCAATTGATATCAACTAAGTATGCAATTATATAAGAACTAAATATGCATTATGTATGCATTATACATGAATTAAGTATGCATTATGTATTAATTAAATTTTCAGACTGGCAGTGTTACTCCCATTGGTCAAAGTTGTCGGTTGTCTGCCGTTGGTAAATGTCGATCAATTATTTTTTTAATTATATAATTAATTTGAATATACTAATTATTATTTATTATATATATTGAAAGTAAATTTTAAATTAATTGAACGGAGCCATTAATTCTACACAAATCAATGGTTAGTATTTGAACCTCACTTCCCCATTTGAAATCTTATTTTATCTGCTGCATATATTAGATTAATCTAAAGAGTGTGTTGCTTATGTAGAGTATATTATTTGATACATTCATGATCCAAGCTGGCTCAGATGGTTCCGGCGTGGCTACTGAGATGGTGAATTTAAATTCGACGGTCAAAATGATTTTTCGCAATAGAGGTACATTTTTTGGAGTCCATGTAACATCCACACCGTTGAATCTTGCCTACTCCGAACTCACGATAGCCAGTGGAACTGTAAGTAATTAATATACGATTCATTAATGTTTTTTCTTTTCTAATTTAATAGATTTTTTCTTTTCGGTTTATTATTATTATTATTATTATTATTATTATTATTATTATTATTATTATTAATGGTATTTCATTTTACGAACCTCATTCTTTTGTGATTGTTGATTTCTTCCAAAACTTATTGCTCCATTCCTGGGCTTTGACGCAAATTATTCCATAACGGATATGAAAGGAAGACTTATTTAATTCCCACTCTTTTTATATTTATGTGAAAAAAATGATTTTTCTTTTATTATTTATTATTATTGCAGATAAGAAAATTTTATCAATCAAGAAGCAGCCATAAAACGGTTACAGTGATGTTGAGAGGCAGCAACATTCCGTTATACGGTGGTGGAGCCGACTTGAGCAGTCTAAACGGGAAGCCGGTGGCCCCAGTGCCCTTGACTCTTAATTTCACGGTTCGGGCCAGGGCTTATATATTGGGCCAATTGGTTAAGCCCAAATTTTACAAAAGAGTCCAGTGCGCCTTAATTGTGGACCCAAAGAAAATGAATGCTGCTATACCATTGAAGAACTCGTGCACCTACAATTAAATTGTTCTTTCAGCAGATAGAGATTGGAGAATTGAACTGTTCTTTGTACGTAATATTTTGTTGATTACAATCAGTTGCTTCTTGAGGAATTTACATCCCATACTAGTCATTATTCTTTATATTACAAATATACATCTAATATATATTTATTTGTAAATCTATCAAAATTATCATAATTATTTACACATATACCATCTTTTTAGTTTTGTTAAGTATATATTTTAAATATGGTAAATGAAGGATTTGATGGGATTTTTGTTTCTTTGTCCTCTCATCCCTCTCTCTCTTCTCGCTGGAAATCTGCTCTCGGCCTCTCCCGTTCACGCCTGCTTCAATTGGACTAAAAAGAAAAGGGCTGCTCGTCAGCCGCTTGGATCTTCTTCCGCCGTCGAGAGGTTTCTCTTCATATTCCCCCTTCACCTCTTTTTTCACCAGCATTTCACACTTCACAGTACAAAAAAGACCAAACCCTTTCGCATAACTGTCTCTCCTCGATCGACGCATTCGAAAATACAAATTGAAAAAAAAAATTGAGCCTAATGGGGGAAGAGCAGATCGATCAAATTAATGGAGAAAAAGTTGTCGGGTTTGAGCTTTTCGTCCCTTTTCTTCAAGAGACTGAGTGCGAAGGGCGGCGGCGGAGGCCCCGGCGGCGCAAGGCCATGGAAATTGAAGAGCTCGGCCGACATGCGGTGGAAGAAGCGGTTCAATTTGCACTTCTGATTCGTCGATGGGGTACTCTTCAAGATCGTCTTGGCTTTTCGAGGCCGTCGTGTTAGTCTCCACGCTCTTCGCCTTCTTCCTTTTCTGCTGCTGCCATTTCTAATATATATTTTTAATTTATTTTTTTTGATATGTTTTTTTAATTAATTAGTTTATGGTCAGTATATGTATAGTATATGACCAGTATATGTCAATCTTAGGGATATGTACAATTATTGTACATCTTAGTTTATGTTTTGTGTATTTGTACATGTACAAATTAGTTTTTGAAGGATGTTTGTTTTTTTAGTTTTTAATGTTTATTCATAGTTTATGTTTGGTATATTATAAGATTTATATTTGTTGAAAACGAAATTGACAAATGAAAAATTTGGTATATTAGAAGATTATTGTAACATTTTACTGAATATAAGTAACTTGTTATAATGTGTTTGTAAACTATATATATACTTTTTATGTTTTTTTTTTATGGATTTGTTGTGTATATGTATGGTTTATTTTCTTATGAAAGACATGTTTTTCATTGTAACATATACTGAATATATACTAACATATACTATATGTAGCTCGTATACACAGTATTTTTTCATTATATGTTTGAGTATGAAAACTTATATGTTTCGGGTATGAAAATTTTGTACATGATTCATATATTACCATCAGATACGAAAATCTACACGTTGCATGATTTATATGTTAGCATCAGTACATGTTTTGGGTATATGTTACGCGTATATACAGTATATATCAAAGTTATACAACATACATATACATAAAATATACACTCGAGATTCTAGTAATTCAAGCCAGCGATAGATCGGGACACACATATACATAAAATATACTTTAAAAACACTCAAATTTCAATCGTTTCTCAAAATCGATTTTAGAACCCATATATACATAAAATATACCTAAGATATACACTCGAGATCAAGTATTTAATTGCTTTATTAATTTGGAAAAGATAAAATGAAAAGTAAAAAGAATAATAACAACGGAGTATTCGGGCTCGGGGAATCATTCGAAAATACAAATTGAAAAAAAAAATTGAGCCCAATGGGGGAAGAGCAGATCGTTCAAATGGAGAAAAAGTTGTTGGGTTTGAGCTTTTTGTCCTTTTTGCTCTTCGCCTGTCTGAAAGCTGCATTTTTGCTCCAATTGGATCTAGGTCTGCAGATTGAGCCGTCGATTGATCCTGCCTGATGGAGGATTTGGGCGGCTGACTCGAGATTTCGGGCTCGGGGCCCATGGAAAATCCAATCCGACGAGGTTCGCGCCCTCCGATCGTCGATCCATTGACGATCCGTTGGTCGGCGATCCGAATTTCACGGCAAGCTCGAAGAATCCCGATAGAAGCAACAAGCACTCGAGTTGGGGTTTCTAGTGATCGTAGATCGTCGGCGCGCACGTCCATCTCGTCGCCGGAAAATTGGCGACTCTACTTCTTGTCGAGGAATGTGACAGAATTTTGGAAACTTTCTGAGGGATTTTTTCCGGAAAGGAACGGCTTGCTGCGTGAATCTTGGGTCTTTATGGATTTGTTACTATCAAATATGGAATGGATATATGTAACTTATTTTAGGCAGTAATGTAATTAATTATTGTCTATTAGGTATATACACAATTAATTATGTATGAATGATAATTTTGTAATAGTTTAAAAATCATGTAGGATAACTGAAAATTTCCCTTGCTTCTTTGTGTCTCATAATGAAATATATGTTGGAAATGCTGGAGGGCCTTTTTGTAAAAATGGGCCAAGGAAAGGCCGTAGAAGCTGAAATTGGGCTTGCTATGTTGCAGAGGAAGGTGTTCTAGTTGATAGATACACTATGGTAAAGTTTCATTTGTGATGACACTGAGTCAAATAATCAATCCATTTTTTCAGACCGGAGATGAATATATAATAGAATCTGACGGTTATCTTATAGACAATGTTATTGCCGAAAAACTAAAGAAGTTTCTAAAATTCATTGTGTTAAAAAACTGGGTGTCAAATTACACGGGAATCCTACGAACTGATACGTATTTTTTCAGTTCTTTAAAATAATCTAAAAATAGAAAATTACAATCGAACTGAAAAATAAATTACAACTAAAAAACAAAACGGAAAGATTTTAGCCGAGGCGAGTAAAACTCTTTCCGCAAGAAGAATACGTCCCGTGTGGCAGCTAACGGTTCAGGCGTAACTTCCCCAAAGATACAACGACAAACGTCTCTAAATCTGTAGCACACTAGATTTACGAGCTCCGGCGAACTAGAATGGAATCGAGAATTAAGCACTTAAAAATAGGAATAAATATATCTCTCTGATAAATTTTCTCTATTTTTATCACTAATATTTTTATCCCTCAAATATTATTTTTGGACTGAATATTTTTCTATCTCTCTTTCTTTTCTTTCTCCCTTTCTTTCTATCTATTCTTTTTCTTCCGTGTTTTTCCTTTATGTTGTGCATTTTCTCTTCTGATGAAGAGTTCTATTTATAGGGAGAGATTGGCACAAGTTGACCAATTTGATAACCTTCAGTGCAATTTCCTCCTTCCCCATAATTGATTTACTAATATATCTTACATGTGGGTTAGTGGAGCGGCGCAACATTTGTCCAATTTGGACTAACAATTTTTTTTATTTTTTATTTATTTTTTTAATAATCCAAGCAAGTGGGGCGGCGCCTACTTTCTTTAGCACTTTCATACCAACAATCCCCCACAAAAGTGCAAATTAAATGTATAAAGAATACTGTGCTTAATCTTCACAAAACTCTATTGTATCAAAGAAGGTAGCTTTTAGCTTTGAACCTTTCATAGTAAACATCATCGGATGCACTGACGGCCTAGTGGACATAATCGTTGAACTATTCCTCCATAGTGTACACCGAGACAATGACATTCACACAATAGAGTCTTAACTCCATTCCGTTCTATCGTTGTGTCCGTTTTGGCCATGGATATCACTTTGGATTGATAAGTGTTTACATTTAAAGTGGCCCACACTTCACACTTATATAGGCGACCTCCCTATCATGAGCTCATATATTACCCCACCTTTACAAGGTTAGGGATTCATTAAAAGTCCACATGACTTACCCTCACCACAATCAACAGGTCATCTGGCACCTGGAGTGCTCTAGGAAATGGCTTTGGACATTCATATGTTCCAAGTGCTCAACTGAATTTTTATAGCTTAGTTTTCCCTTTGAACCACGTTCGTGGGATCTCCACTTAGCATAGTAGGGTTACCACTATGATCATTCTTTACATTGTTGATTTTTAAACCCATTCCCTCTACCAAAACTCTCAAGTCTAGACATATTCGTCATAGACATATCCGATGTAATCTTTCTATATTTTAGGAACAGTATTTTGGGTTATATATGCATTGCATAAATATGTAGCGATTTTCCTTTTTTTTTTTTCCAGAATGAAACAGTAATTTAATTCCATAATAAGGAGAGGGCGTTGGAAAAGATTTGATAACGTACTTAGGCATTAATTAATCTAATTAAATATGTTTGATTTAGGTAGATAGACAATTATTTTAGTTACTATAGTAGAGTTGCTAATATTTAAAAATCTTGTAGGAGAGATAAAAATCCCCCGAAATGAAACTTTAGAGCTAAATATTTAGGTATTAATAGTATTCTTCAACCAATATTCTTTAGCCCATAATCAAATTAGTCATAATAGGTTAAATGAAGTTGAACTTTATGTGAAAAAATTACGCTGAATTATTATAGTTTATGAAAGCAAGTTTTTTATTCATGCTCATCAGATATCCGTCAATCTTAGGGCTAAATATTTTAGGTATTACTTGTACTCTTCAACCAATATTCTTTAGCCCATAATCAAATTAAATTAATTATAATAAGTTAAATAAAGTTGAACTTCAATAGCATGCGAAACAATTACGCTGAATTATTATAGTTTATGAAAGCAAGTTTTTAATTCAATTCAGATATCCATCAATCTTCTGGCTCGTTCTCTCTATATAAAAATATGTTTATTTTTATTTTTTGATTAATCATATTTAAAATTACAACGTGTATCTGGTAATGACGGAAACTTTTAATAGCCAAAACATTACATATTAAGTTCATGTATAGTTATATACAACTTGATGTGGTCTCGCACCTCGAATCGACCTTCCACTGATCCTTAACCGCTTGCTCCCCGGAGACCTGCAAACACCTCCCGGCATTATACCTCCGACGCTCAAGTTAGTAAAGGATTATAAAAAGTTGTATGTAATTGTATGTAGTGTTTAGGGTTTAGAGTGTGATTAACATTTATCTTCTTCCCCAATTAACCTATTTATATGGAATTATTAGTTTCCTCAGTACGCTTTGTTCTTCCTCCATTCGGATCAGTTATTCCTTCTTAATCCTAGCTCTACATGTGTCCCTTG